TGGATTATCTTGAACTCTGGGTTTCTTGGATGATCTTGGATTCTTGAATTCTTGATTTATCTTGAATTCTTGAATTCTTGATTTATCTTGAATTCTTGATGTATCTTGGACTCTTGAATTCTTGWTGTATCTTGGACTCTTGAATTATCTTGGATTCTTTGAGTACTTTGGCTTATCTTGAATTCTTCCTATGAGTTGTCGCCCATATGGTGAGATAGGCCTCCTTGATGAGATGGGCCTGTTCTTCATCCTGCTCATCCTCAGGAAAATGCTTGACAGGCACTTCAAAATTTCTTCTGAGATTTTGTTAGCACCGTTACTCTCTCCTTCTGGTGCTGTTTCTTCAGGAACAACTGATGCGCTTTGTTCTTCTGTGTCTTGTTCTATGGCTCCACATTCTAGCTGTAGTTTCAGAGGATCCAAACGCTTCTCTACTGATCCATTCTCAATGGGGGGGCCTCTTCACTGGGGTTCAGATTTTTGTGTTTCTATCTTTTGGGGATCGCCTGTTGTTCTTTGATGAATTAGTGCAGGACTGATTCTCTTTTCCCCGCACATCTTCTGAAAAAGCCGATGAAGGATGAGCTTTCTTCGATGGTTGTTTCCCATTTGAGGGCCGAATAGAACGATGCGTTGTTCGATCGGAAATAGGCTCAAAGGCCAACCGGGTCGAAGCCGACAATCTACCAGGAATTGAAGGTAGAATCGTTGCGGTGGATGTCTGACGTAACCACGACTTGAACCCAAAAATCAATGTTGCACTATCAAGAGGAACGTGGTACAGACTGTTACCGGGAATAACTGGAGCAACGCCGAGTTCTACTTTGTCGTCGCTATCATCATCAAGAACAGGATTCCGGGGTATAGGAGCGATGAGTGGTTTACCGTGGTTGTCTCCTCCGGTTGGGTACGGGTTATCCCGATTCCTTGGAACAACCTTCCGTAACAAGGTTCGCAGTTGTGGTCATGCGCTGCTCTTCGATTGCTCTCCAAACAGCTAGGAACCCCTGATCCCTGTCACGGGGTGGGTTGCGACTGCTACCGTCTTGGTTGGACATGACTGGGCGAATTCCCTGCTCTGATACCACCTGACGCAGCATGGAAGCAATGAGAACCGGAGCTGGCTATATAAGCATCGGGCGTTCGCTAGCACCTAGCGAATAACACCGATTTCTCTAAGAGAGAGAAAAGGTGGCGAAAACTCAAAGAAGAGAACTCAAGAAAATCTGAAAATCTGAAGTATGAATTGTGTTCATTAACTGGGAAATAGCAGTATTTATAATACATCTGGAAATTGTAAAAGAACTAGGAAATAACAACTAGGATAGATATCAAAACATCTAAT